GATGGGTCCGCCTCCGGTGCCGATGCCTGTACCGCTGGATTGGGTTGCGGCACCCGAAGCGGGGAGGGAGGGGCCCGGGACAGGGATGCCGATGGTTGGGAACGGTGACCTGAAGCCTCCGACCCCCCCAATGGCTCAAATGGGGGCTGAGTGAGAGTGTCCAAAACCATCTCCAGGTTCCATGGAGGTTGAGATTGTGCAGATCTTCGATGACTCTTCTCCTGGTGGGATGTGCAAAAATGGAATAGCCATCAATCCAGGGGTGGAAGGTGGTAATAGTGGCAAGGTGGACTCTGAGAGAAGCCAAGGACAACCCTGACTGCTTTAGATCAAGGATGTAGTCTAAAATTACTTGGAGCAATACCACATATAGGTCGATTTCATTTTGCATACACCATGCCGCAAATCTGTTCCATTTTTGCAGGTAGGTAGGTGTGTGGTCTACCACCGGCTATGCAGTAGGATGTCTTTTACCTGATCCGAGCAGAGTGTTTTGGACACTTGAAACCAGCAAGGTGGTGTAGAGTCTGAGGCTGGGGGTGCAATAGGATTTCCCCATTCTGGGTCAACAGACTGTGGCAATTGGGAGAAGATGGGGTCTTGGACAGACATCTCAGGGAAATAAGGAAACCATGTCTGCCTGGACCAGGAGGGGGCTATGAGGATTATTCGAGCCTCATCTCTCCTGACTTTCTCGAGGACCCTCAGGATGAGGGGGATTGGTGGAAACACGTGGTGTAGCGGCCCATTCCAGTTGATTAGAAAGATTTCCTCTAACAATCCGCATCGCACACCCGTCTGGAACAATACTGAGGGCATTTGGCATTGTCAGGGGAGGCGAATAGATCTATGTGGGAAAATCCCCATCAACAGAAGATGATCTGGAGCAACTGGTGATGAATCTCCCACTCATGGTCTAAGGTAAAGTGCCTGATCAAAGTGTCCACTATAGTATTGTTGATTCCAGGTAGATAAGACACAGTTATGGTTACATTGTTGCGGATGCACCAATTCCATAGTCAAACTGCATCTACTCAAAGAGAGTGGGAGCAGGCTGTCCCTTGATAACGGATATAGTACATTGTTGTCATGTTGTCGGTAGCAATTCTGACTGTGCAGTTGTAAATGCATGCACAGAAGTGTTTGAAAGCGTTAAATACTGCTCGTAATTCCAGAAGTTGATATAGAGCGCTGTTTCACGGTTGGATCACCAACCCTGGGCTAAATGTCCATCTAAGTGCGTACCTCATCTAAGGAGGGAGACATATTGTGATTTGAACGGAAGGTTGATCACAGTGCAGTGGGACCCCCACCAGGAGATTGTCTAGCTTGGTCCACCATTTGAGGGAATCAGCCACATTGTGTGGAAGAGAGACATGCTTATGAATACGTTTGCAAGGGATGTATACTGATGTCAGCCAACATTGAAGGCAACAAAGGTGTAGGCAGGCGTGGCACACAACATAGGTTGTTGCTGCCATGTGGCCTGTAAGATGCAGACAGTTAAATATTGGGACTGTTTGGCTCATGGAAACTGTTGCGATGAGATCCTGTATGGACTGGAATCTTTGCATAGGTAAGTAGGCGTGGGCAGTAATGGAGTCTATTTGGGCACCTATAAAGTCCAGAGTCTGCACTGGAGGAAATGTGGACTTTTGCTGGTTGATAATGAGTCCGAGAGACTCAAATAGATTCCTGGCTGTGCCATCATGTCATGTGTTTCCGTGTAGGATAAGCCATTTTTGAGGCAATCGTTGAGGTAAGGGGAGATCATAATGCCCTGTCGACATAGATATGCTGGAACTACTGAGAGTGTCTTTGAAAACACTCTGGGGGCAGATAAAAGGCCAAAAGGGCAGAATGTGATACTGGAAGTGTTCTGATGCTATTGTGAAATGAAGGAATTGTCTGTGTCTGGATGGATGGTCCCATGAATATATGCATTTTGCAGATCGAGGGCTGAAAATCACTCTCCCTTGTCCAACGCTGGGATTATAGATGTCAGGGTAACCATTTTGAACCACTGCTTGTGTAAGTATTTGTTGAACTTGCGAAGATTGATGATGGGTCTCCAGCCCCACGTTCTTCTCTCCATGAGAAAATAATTGGAGTAGAAGCCTTTGCCTCTGAACTAATCTGGTACCCTCTTTACTACTGCTCCAATGGTGAGAAGATGGTACACCTCCTGTCTTAGCAGCTCCTTGTGAGAGGGGTCCCTGAAGAGCGATGGGGAAGGTGGAGTGGTTGTGGGAAGAGAGGTAAAGGGGATGGTGTAGCCAGATGTCATGATCTTGAGAACCCAAAGGTAGCCTATTGGTGATAAAATGGGCACAAGTACTGGTGAAAAATGGGGGCATGTTCATAGCGTGGACGTATAGAGGAGAGATCGGGCAGATCCTCTACTAATGTCTCAAATTTGCTGCTTATTGGCCTGTTGGTTAGAGGAGTGATTGTTTTGTGGCTGCCGGGGTGATCCAACACCTACAGTGAAGCACTCACAGGGACATCACTCGAAGGTTAAATTCCTGGGGCCAGGACCCTCTTTCTCTTGGTGTAGGTATGTCCCCTAGAATCTCATAACTAAATGGGTGCTGAATGGTGGAGTGTGCACTTTGGAGCCTGAAAAAAAAATGGAAATAGCAGCAGATCCATAATGACAATGCTGTTGCTAATATTATGATTATAATGTTGGAATAACATAGGAAAGGTGACATATCCTGTGAACAGTGAAATGAAACTGCAGGAACCTTTCAAATCATGGTGAGGAACTGGAGTTGGATCAGTGGAATAAATGTTCTTTTGGTTAGTAGTAGTTTACAGCAATGCTAGTGGTGGGTTTCATATAATTCTTAATTGTCTGACTCTCTAGCTTTGCATGACAAGGGAGTTATGAAGGAGTGAATTGGTGGAGTACTGATAAAACTATAATTACAATAAATTCCTTCCTTCCTTCCTTCCTTCCTTCCTTCCTTCCTTCCTTCCTTCCTTCCGAGTTATACTCCTGATAGTTTATCCTTTATTTATTTTGTGACTTATCAATATTGCTTCTTAAGTAGTTTCCACAAAAAGTACCTTCTTTTGCATTATCTCATTCAGTTAAAGTATGGCAGTTTCTACAGAACTTTTTAAAGAGACAAAGATAATGCAAAACCATAACTGGAAACTACCCTTCTGCAGAATCTCCTTTAATATTAATTGCTAAAGCACCAATACGGTTAAATCACAAATCTGTGGGATACATTTACAGGAAAAAGCCCTAACCTGAATTCAAATGTTATGATATGACAAAGGTGTTGAATATGAGGATTAAAGCCTTCGTTTATTACCATATGCTAGATCCCAACAGGCATCATTACAACAGTCCCTAATCAAATGGGGACAGGGGAAAATACAGTTATTCTGGAAAGAAGCTGGTTGTTTTCCACAATAAAGAAAAAGTCAACTATTATTTTATTTGGAAAATACTATTATTTTTGCCACTTTGTTTAGAGGTGGGTGGGTGTCTCATATAATTGAATTTTGATAGAGATGCAGCCATGTTAGTCTGGTCTAGCTGAAACAAAAGACAGGTCTATGCAGTCTTTAAAGACTAACAAGATGGTTTATTAGGTGATGAAGTGGGTCTGGCCCACGAAAGCTCATCACCTAATAAAACATCTTTGTTAGTATTTATAGTGTTGCATAGTCCTGTCTTTTGTTTTATAATTGAATTACTTCTTCTCAAAAGAGCAGGCCTATGATATCAGATTTATCTGAGCTACCAAGCTGACATGTCAAAAGCAAACATGTTTTTTGTGGGAAGGCCTTTCACTTGGAAGGATTTGGTGGAGCCAGGTGTCAGCAGTTGTAAGAAGACGACATTATTTAATGTACACATGGGTGAAGCAGCACTTGGACTTGAGAGTTGACACTCAGATCTTCACAGCTAATTCCATGCCCGGTTCCCTTTAAAAACTTTTAAAAAAACAAATAGTCTAGCAGCTCCTTAAAGACCAACAAAAAACGTAGATACTTGATACCATCTACACATTTTGTTAGTCTTCAAAGTGCTACCATACTATTAGCTGTTTTTTAAGTTTTTCCAGTTACAGACTAACACAGCTACCCCTCTGAAGCAGTTCCCTTTAGTTTGAAGGAGTTCCAATGACAGCAGAAAGCATCCTCTTCTGAGCACATTATCAAAGATATGTTCTAATGGCATAACAACAATAATAAATTCTCGCTATATGTAGATCTCAAAATGCTTTACAAATGAAATCAGTATCATTAACCCCATTTTACATATTGGAAAACTGAGTCACGGAGAAACTTGACTTGCCCAACACTAACTAGCATATCAGTAAGACCATGTCTACACTACAGATAAGCTCGAAGCAACCACAGATAATCTTCCGGGGTTCGAATTAGCGGGTCTAGTGAAGACATGCTAATTCGAACTTAGAGGGGTGCTCCTGTTGATGCAAGTAGTCCTGCTTCTAGGAGCAGCAAGGCAAGTCAAAGGGAGAGTGCACTCCTTTCAACTTCCCGCAGTGTGGTCGGTGCCAAAATCTGACTTAAGATACTTTGACCTAAGCTACACAATGAACGTAACTGAAGTTGTGTATCTTAATTCAAACCTATCCCCTAGTGTAAACCAGGGGTAACAGAATCTGAAATAGAATCCAGGTCTATCCAGTAGCAAGGAGCAAAAATAAAGTATATGTGCTCTTAAGAGCGCCCTCTGAAGGTCTTGAATCAAAATGGTTCAGTATGAAAGGAAAAGCATGACCACACAAAATTCTTAGAGTCAGATACCAAATATAAGTTCAGGATAAAGATGCTTGCCTAGACCTCCCCAAATCATGGGCATGCTCTGTTAGGTGGTGATCATTCTAATCAAATTAGCTTTGCTTACAAAGTAAAATCTCCTTTGCAAAAAGATTTGTCTGGTTAAGCTAAATCTTTTCCTGCATCATTGATTTTGAATAGAGAAGGATTGTTCTGTTTTGTTGTGGCTTTAAATCAACAGAACACTGTTTTCAACTAGATGTTTCTCCTAATGTTTTGTGACCATCAGATGAATTCTGTGTGATTATTTTGTGAAGGTAAATTTATTCTAAATGCTGTGGTAAATTTCTGGCAGTTTAGAGGACTCTCCCAGTCAGAACATATGGAAAAGGAAGAGGGACAGGTAAGCCAGAAACAACAGAAAAATAACCCAGTGTTGGGATTTACCTAAGTTGGGTGTCACACCTTTTGCATGCTACACAAGGTAGGAGATTATATTTAGAAGGCTACAGTACAGGAAATAGATAAGTATTTTAGGAATTAAACTAGTATTATCTAGACTAAACAGAGTTATTACTTATAAGTTTCAGAGAGGTAGCCATGTTAGTCTGTAACTGATAAAACTTAAAAAACGACAAATAGTCCTGCAGCACCTTAGAGACCAAAAACAAAAAAACCCAAAAAACCGTAGATGGTATCATGAGCTTTCGTGGGCACCACCCATTTCTTCAAATTAATTTGAAGAAGTGAATAGTGCCCACAAAAGCTCATGATACCATCTACTTTTGTGTTAGTCTCTAAGGTGCTGCTATTTGTCGTTTGTTAAGTTTTTACTTAGTGGTTGGCACTGATAAACTAGCTGCTTGCATTGCTATGGTTGGAAAGGCTATTAAAATAGAACAAAAAGTAGATTTAACAGGAATCTAATTCTTTATAAAAGGTAATTTATTCAGTATAGGATGTTGCGAAATCATAAATGTTTGTATAAAAATGTACTTCTTGTATATTATATTGAGCAGTGTGTTTATTTTATAAGGTTATGGAGTTTTTGAATCTTAACTGGCTTTGATCTGATGAAAAGAAAAAGATACTGATTTTGATGTAATGGCTGTCCTTAGCTCCAGGTGAATTGTTAGCCCAAAATAAGAATCAGCTAATTACAAACATATGACACTATTATATACAATTCAAACCATTGTAACATCTAGCCAGATACCCAGAAGACCAACTTCCTTACAGCAGCACAAACTAGTGCCCCTGCCAATGCAAGAGGACAACTAACTTCTTGATATCACACATGCTCCACTATTATCCCTGCTGCTTTCTCACAATACTCAGCTCTAGAATCAGAGAAGGGACCTCGAGAGATCATCGAGTTCAGTCCCCTGCCCTTATGGCAGGACCAAGCACCATCTAGATCATCCCTGATAGATATATGTCTAAACTGCTCTTAAATATCTCCACTGATGGAAATTCCACAACTTCCCTAGGCAATTTACTCCAGTATTTAACCACCCTGGCAGTTAAGAGGTTTTTACTAATGTCCAACCTAAACCTCCCTTGCTGCACTTTAAGCAGCAAGTTGTAACAAACTGTTTTGCAATCTTAACTATAATGGCACAACTGAGCACCCCCAATAGGAAAGCCTGATTCTGCAGCCAAGAATCATACCATGTAGAAATAACTTCATGACCCTTTTAAATCCAAGCTGGAATATGTTTAAAAGGGATGCTGTCAAAGCAAGAGCTCAGTTTTTTACAATTGCAACTGAAAAATCTAAAAAAAATCGTATGAAATTAGTTACGTATTTTATGCAGTGTGGACAATGCAAGTCTGATGAGTTTCACTGTCTGGCTATCATGCACTAGTAGGATATGGGTTACAGACATGGCAGAGGAAATTTAAAATCCAAACCAAAAGGAGTTTTCAACAATGAGACTCCCCAGCCAGGAAGCAACACTGATAGCAGGGATTTTGTACTTTGCCCTTTTCTCACCCTCAGAACCTTGACAGAAGCTAAGATTGATGTTCCACCTGCTCTGTATCAGCCTTAAAATCCCCCTGAACCTGCAGATTCTAAATCAGGGCTCTTTGCCAGCAATGACAACATGCTTCTCTCTGAATTAGATTCAACATTCATCAACGATGCTTCTGTTTTATCAGGTGGGGTCTGAAGTGGACATTTTGCAGTGCAGAAACTAATAGCAATGAAGACATATGTTTTGAGAGTGTGGTATGTGCATGTGTTGGTGCTGTGTCTGAATGCAGCTGAGGATTTCCAATGGACAAAGAATAATCCTGGCTCCTTCTATTATGGCACTTTTCCAACTGGTACTTTTAATCTATATCTGTCTGTGGTTTTATAATATTCTAAACCCATTCCTGTTTAGTAAAAGGAAGTTGGTAAAAAATTCTCCCTGCAAAGAGAGATTATGTTCATAATATAGAGCCATTCAGAGCAGGGAGAAAATAGTGACACTCCAGCCTCACCAGAGCCCCTTGTAGAATGCACATTTAAACACACACTGCTCACTTTTGCTTTGTATTTTGTAGTCACTTACACTAGAGCAAACTGAGTGTAAAATGCTAACCCCCGATTTGACAGTATTTACATACAGGCTTTCCTGAGTGTAAGTGACAAGGTAGGAGGTTATGGTGAATCAGGCACTGAAATCCTATCATTTTTTATTATTCACAATTAATTTGGAAATGCAGAGCTATACATTAAAATGCTCTCTTACCAATCCAATTTAATTAAATGAATATGAACTAAATGAAAAGGACCTGTGGCAACAGCTGGGGAGGGCCACAAGGGGGGCACCAGCCATATGACCATTCCCCCTGACTCCTCTGTACCCAAGCCCAGGGGAAAGCCCCGCTTCTTCCCACCCTGTCCCCACTCCATCCCTTCTCCCAAACACAGCCCCCATCCCCTAAGCGACATGGCCTAGGGACTAGTGTGTGTGTGGGGGGGAAGGTGGAGAACCTTGCAGCAGGTGTTGCCCTCACCAGTAGCAGCAGGGGGAAGTGGAGTGATCTGACTCCAGCCTGCTCTGCTCCCTCAGCTGCCAGCCACATCACTCTACTTCCCACCATCTGTGAATGAGGAGGCAGTTCCACTCCCGCCCCCAACTCCTTCCCCCAGGCAGCATTGCTTTGGGAGCCTGGAGTGGAACAGACTCGGACGGGTCGCTCTGTTTCTTGCCACTGAAGGCTAATGCGGGGGAGCAGGAGAGCGACTCCTATTTCCAGTGCCAAGCCCCCACTAAACCCCTGTGCCCTATGCCCCCACCAAAATACTTGGCTTGGAGCAATTGCATCCATAGGACAAGATGTCTCTGCTCACCTGCTGCTAGACCCTTGCTCCACCCCCCCATAGCATTTTGGGGGGCATGTGATCCTTCTCCTCCTGCATTCACATGCGTCGCCGCTGACAAAATCCCTCACCAAAGGCTCTTAAGCAATGTAAGCCATGATTGGATAAGAGGGAAGGTCCTCTGATGGATCAGTAACTGGCTCAAAGCTAGGAAACAAAAGGTTGGAACAAATGGTTCATAGCAGGGTCTCCAGGAAGCTGTACTGGGATCAGTACTATTCAACATATTCATAAATGATCTGGAAAAGGGGAGTACAGTGAGGTAACAACATGTGCACAAAATTACTCGAGACGGTTAAGTCCAAAACTGACTGCAAAGAGTTATAAAGGGAGCTCAAAAAACTGGGTTCTGAGCAACACAATGGCAAATTAAATTGTTTATAAGTGCAAAGTAAAGCACATTGGAAGAAATAACCCCAGCTATACATACAAAGTGATGGGGTCTAAATGAGCTGTTACCACTCAAGACATTTTGGAGGAGTCATTGATAGTTCCTTGAAACCATCTAAACAATGTGCAGTAGCAGTCAAAAAAGCTAATAACATTAGGAACCATGAGGAAAGGGATAATATAACGCCACTATATCTTGAATGCTGTGTGCAATTCTGGTGCCCCATCTCAAAAAAGATATATTAGAATTGGAAAAGTGCAGAGAAGGCCAATGATGATTGGAGTTATGGAGCAGCTTCCATATAAAGAGCAATTCAAAAGATTGCAACTGTTGATCTTAGAACAGAGACAGCTAAGAGGGGGATATGACAGAGGTCTATAAAATCTCCACTGGCATAAGGAAAGTGAATAAGGAAATGTTATTTATTCCTTTACATAACACAAGAACTAGGGGGGGTCACCCAATGAAATTAATAGGCATCAGTTTTAAAATTATATAAGGAAGTACTTTTTCACCCATGCACAGTTAACACATGGAACCTGTTTCCAAGGGATGCTGTGAAAGCCAAAACTGTTACTGGGTTCAAAAAATAATAAGATAAGTTCCTGGAAGATAGGTCCATCAATACTTATTCGTTAAGATGGTCAGGGCAGAACCTCATGCTCCTAGTGTCCCTGTCTCTAACTGCCAGAAGCTCGGAGTAGAGGGGATGAATCACTCAACATTGCCATCATCTGTTCATTCCCTCTCAACCATCTGACACTGGTCACTGTCAGAGACAGGATAGTGGGCTGCACAGACAATCTGTCTGACCCATAATGGCCATTCTTATATAACTAGCCAATAACCCGTCAGACAACAGGATTTTTCGGGACTCTCCTCCATGTCAGTCTCTCTCTCTCTCCTCCTCCTCCTGCCTCTCAGCTCTCCTCCACCTCCTGCCTCTCTCCGTCTCTCTTTCTCTTCTCCCCCTCCTGCCTCTCACTCTCCCGTTCTCTTCTCCTCCCCCTCCTGCCTCTCATTTGGGGGATCGCGGAGCCCAAATAGCTGAGTTCTGCGCCGCTCAGCCGGGCCGCCATGGGGGAGCAAGCGGCGCAAGCTGCACGGGGGTGCTTCATGGGGACCATGGGGCCCAAACAGCTGCTTACGCCTCTTGCTCCCCTGCGACGGCACAGCTGAGTGGCGCAGAACTCAGCCGAGCGCCACAGCATGAAGCAACAGTGTCCCCTACAGCGTTACAGAGTCACAGACATTGGGCTACTATATATATGATTTGAATTAATCACTTGGGGAGGTTGTTTCAAGACGTTAATCACATCTGATTAAAAAATAGGTCCATGAACATACAACAAAAAAATCTAGGAAGATTTTGTCTTCGTGTTTACTTTAAGTAATTTGTGAATATGAATTAATTGCACTGAAATAATAAGTTTAGCAGTTATACATTTACAAGCAAGGAGGCTGGCCCCTTTCTTATGTTTTGTAACAAAATAACTAAATATAATTTTCACCTAACTAAATATATTGAATGAAAAAAGATTTGGAGCCTGATTTTATTCTACAGTAAAACCCTTTTTATACACCACTGAGCCAATGCAAAGAGCCCCCCTAATGCCCACTTTAAGGGATTAAAAAATGGGGCTCTTATGAGACTCGGGTCCATTATATTTAAACCGTTCTTGTTATATTGGAAAACTGGTATCTTACGTAGTTAAAAAAGTAACTGTAGGGCCCAATTTCTAACCATTCACTAATAACAGACCTACAAAATGTATAGGAGTACTTGCTTGCATATGCAAAAACATGCATATTTGAGTCTGTGTAAAGTGTTTAATTAGGCACAAAGCCACCTACTTTGTACACATAGATGCAATATTCTGAAAGCCTCCCAGTTATTTACACATGAAAATTAAGCCCTTAAAGCCAGGTCTGAGTTTTAGTCTTCTGATTGTCATCAGTTTATTTACTTGTTGTTACTTAGGATTTTTATGGGGAGTTGGCAGTTCTGCCTTCCAAACTGAAGGAGCCTGGGACAAAGATGGGAAAGGACCAAGTATCTGGGATACTTTTACTCACAAAAAAGGGAAAGTGTTTATGAATGAAACAGCAGATTCATCATGTGAAGGATACTACAAAGTTAAGGTATGATTAAAACAGCAGAAATACCCATAATACATAAAAAACACTGAACCATTGTTAGTCTCAACTGAAAATGCAAATATGACAGATGCTTTAATCTGCTGCTCTTAAAGTCTGCAGCTAGCTTCCTATAGCCAGCTGTTAAACTTTGGACTGTTTGCTGTAACAGTGAGTGGCCAGTTTTCAAGGTGCTAAGGACAGTCTTTAGAATTGTCCCAGTGAAAAGAAAACACACATATCAAGAGAGATTCCAGATGATTATTCTATGCTGAGTCAGAATTGGAATTCTGGTGAAACTATGGATGTTAATATGTGTTTACTTTGGTAAACATGTAACCACTGAAATTTTCAGCAGTTATACATTTACACGCAAGGAGGCAGGCAGCTTCACAGGAGCCTGTGCAGCTCCCTGTGAGCACCAGCTCCTGCCTGACACCCTCTCCTCACCCACATGCTGCTGCCTCTGATACAGAGGCAGGAGTGTGGGGGGACAGGGAGCGGCCTGTGCGTAAGCATGAAGGTTAACCGATGAGCCCAGGCTTATCAGTTAACCATTTAGATGCTTACACTGTCATATCCCTAATTATTAGTCCATTACTTAAGTAGAGCTGATTAAACTTGAAAGTCTAGCAGTAAGTGGGGAGGGGGTTTCAGATGTAAGGTTAAATTATAAATAAACCTTATTGACTCACTATTGACCCTGAACATGTGGACAAGACCCACCAAGCAGATACCTGGGAAAAAAATTCTCTGTAGTAACTCAAGAGCCCTCTCCATCTAGAGTCCCATCTCCAACAGTTGGGGATTTTTGCTACTGGCAATCACCAGTCATCATGCCATCCCCTCCATAAATTTATTAAGATCAATCTTGATGCCGTCTACACAGCGCTTTTTTGCACAAAAACCTCTTGCGCAAAACGGATCCGAGGATGTACAAATGAGCGCTCCATTTGCATTTCCTCTTGCGGAAGAGGACTGCAGTATAGACGTAGCCTTAAAATTATAGGAAGCTATCGTATCTCCCCTTGATTAGGCTAAATAAGCAAAGCTCTTTGAGTCTGCTTTCATAAATTACGTGGGAACTGAAAATAGTCTGTAGTCAGTTTCACTGTCTGGTTTTCAAACATCAGCACCAAACCAGAAGACTCCAGCTCAGAAACTGAAGAACAATTTTAATGTCAATCAAAAACCTTTTTTCTCTGGAATTTAAGATGAACTGACAAGCTATTAAAATGTATGCTGCCTATAGGTCAGGTCATGAATGTCCATCTATAGTAAATCCCACTCTAGGGGAGGATATCTTCTGTTCCTATTATTTTCCTCTTCTGAAAGGGACACGTTATACTCCAATCTTTCTCCTACAACCAAAAGACTGCCACAAAAACTTGTGGACCTGACCCATCATTCTTTTCCAGCTCTCAGGCAGCAGTTGCCATGACTCCAGCTATCTCCAGAATCCTTGGGGATGATCTGTGCAGATTGCATTGTAATTTCTGCAGTGACAGATTGTTTAATGTGTCCTCCACTAGCCTGCCCTAAATTCAGCCTCTCTTCAGATCATTCTCTGCATGGATGGGGCAATACCTTTTAGCTTTGTTCTGAGATGGGGAAGCCAAGTGTGGATCTCAATGTCAAGGAAGTAGGTGACATGATCTATACCTAAAGCAGCAACAAAGTATGCCTAATTGCCTAAAACAGACAGCAATATACATCTGAAATGCAGCTAATCGTTTTCTTACCTACAAATATCATAGTCTGGAGCCTTTTGTCCATCCAACAACAAAGAACATTCTTACCACTTAGAGGACAATGGAAAGCACAAGTCTGTATACAGCTTAAAATGAAATAAAATTGAGACCTTCTAGACCAGGCATGTCAAACTCGAAGCCTACTCAGGGTGGCACAAATGAAAACTAATAGCTTTCAGGGCCACCTACGGATCCCAGATGGTTTAACCAAAAAAGAAAAACATTATTGTCAAGCAAAAAGAAAAAAAAAAAATTAGGTGCCAGGCAGACGGCACAAATATCGGATTATGTTTTAGGTATATTGTATAATATTACTATAATTTGATGTGTAAAATTATTTGACCATATTAAATAATTTTAAAATTAATTTTACATAATTTTTAATTTAAATATAAATTTAAGGTACTTTTAAATTTTGTATATGACACATAACTTGTTTTGTTGAAATAAAAACAAGTATAGACCATGGTTAATCAAATAGAACACGCTTATGTGAAAATTTCAGATATTTTGTAAGTTTGAGATTTTGCATAACGATTATAATTATTGACATTTATTGATATAAAATTAATATACATTTTGTGATTTTATTTGGGAATAAATAAAAAACAAAATAATAACAAAATAACCCCTTCCCCTCTTCCCCAGAGCCAGGCCCCCACAAACTATTGCTTCCCCCCTCCCCTAAGCCAACCCCCCAATCTAATGCCTCTCCCCTTCCCCAGAGCCAGCCCCCCCAACCTAATGCCTCCCCCTCTTCCAGAGCCAGACCCCCCCAACCTAATACCTGGGTTCCGCAGTCGACGTTGCCACCTAAGGCGCTGGGGAAGCGTGAGCACAGTGGCGAGCTGTGAGAACCTGCTGGAGAGCCCAGTGCAGGGCACCCAGTCAGGAGCGGCCCGGCCGGCCAGGAGCAGTAGCTGTGGTGCAAAGCAGCCTGGTCAGCCGCAAGCAGGCCAGTGGACCACACTTCATTCTTTAATAAAATGTTCTGGCGGGCCACAAAAAATTTTGATCGGGCTGCATGCGGCCTTACAAACGCCAGTTTGACATGCTGGTTCTAGACACTACCAGCAAAAACAAACAAAATCTATATATAGTTCTGCTTCTGGGAGTCTTGAAGCTGCTTTGGGGAAGGAACTCATGTACATTAGCTGGCTTTTTTCCCCAGATATCAGGGATGACAGTAATGTAAACATCTCTTTCCTCACAACAGCAAATAGCTCTCCAGATGTTACCCAACTGGAGCTGGATTAACTCCTGTGTCATAAAGGAGAACAAACTTATCTCTTTATCTTTAGCAATCATATAGTCCCAAATACCAGACTCTGAGCTTATCACAATCTTTAATGTATTAATTTTCACCTTGTGAGGTAGGAAAGTATAGTGTGTGAGCAAGGCCAGATTTTAAAAGGTATCTAGGCACCAAGGGGGATTTTTAAAACCATCACTGGTTTTAGGAAGTGTATGCCAGAGAACAGAACTGAAGACAGGTCTCCTGCATACTATGCTCATGCCCTAACCCAGTGGTTTTCAAACTTTTTTTCTCATGACTGAGTTGAAGAAAACGGTTGATGATCATGACCTAACATAATCTGACTAGAGTGTGGGCTCTAGAGTGGGGCTGAGAATGAGAGCTTTGAGGTGTAGGAAGAGGCTCCAGCTTTGGGGATGTCAGGGCTGTGGCAGGAGGGGCTTACCTTGAGCAATTCCCAGTTGGTGGTACAGTGGCAGTGGTAATGCAAGTTTCCTGCCTCTCCTGGCACTGCAGACCATGCTGCACCCCATAAGCAGCCAGTTCTAGACAGCAGGAGTATAGAACTAGTGCTTGGGGCAGGGGCAATGTGCGGAGCCCTGTGTGCTTTCCCGCCCTCCTCTCATCTAGAAGCCAGGGCTATTGCCAGCCTCTTCTAAGAGGCAGTGCAGTCTGCAGTGCCAGGACCAGCAGGTAGCCTGCATTAGTAACCCCACCGGTCCCTGATCACCCAGCAACAATGAGAATCAATGTCTGACATTCCACCACCAAGTGCTGGGTGGCTACACAGAAAAATTGCATCTAAAATCACTCCCTAAAATTGTAATATTTACACTATGTAATAAACTAATTCCCATTTATAACTTTATGGAAAATTATCATGAACTAGATGCTATTTTATACTAAATATTCAACAATTCCTCTCTAATATTTGAGCTTCCATGCCTACACGTTATATTTATGTAATGCCCTAGTATTCACAGTCCTGATTTTAAAACCTAAAAATCTGAACTGCCTCCAAATTCATGCCTAATAAAAAGTTAAAGGCACATTTTATGGCATTGAGATATAGACCTATGTTACATATCTGAGCATAATGCATGTTTAGAAGAATCTAAGTCCAAGAGGTTGCTGGTTTTCATTGTGGAGCTGGTTCCAGTGTAAGACAGGATGGAAATGCAGGTGTCACTGCTCTGAACTTGGTCACTTGGTGTCTTTACACAGCTGCCCTTTTCTTAGTAACGAAAAAAAATGTTTGAAAATAGCTCATGTTAAAAATCTAGTGAACAGGATTTTAGAAATTAGTAATTTAACTGTTTGTGGTCAGTATGTACTAGAGTCTAACCTGGAAACAAATTTCAATCAGCCTCTACAATCTTATATTTGAAATCTTTATATCATATCCCTGTACCAGCATGCAGCGAAATAGGGCTTGCCCTTTATTACCACAATGGTATTTTTCTGCAGTTGGAAACAACACTATATCCCAACAGTTCTTGCAACATGTAACTAAAATGTCAGACATTTGAATGGAAGAGTTTACTGGTTTTACAGGGAGTAGACTGCAAATTTCTTTTTAGCAAATCCAGGTGTCAAATGTGAGAGTTTTGGCATATGGCTGCTAGAAAGTTTAGATACATTGTAAATTAACAGCACCTTGTGCACAAAACTGGGAGACAAGTAGCATGGGTGATTTATTTGCAGATCCTGTATAAAATCCTTATATTCCAGAGTTCCAGCATGAATTTTTTCTAGCAAAGAGTTAATATGTTTGGGGCCAAATTCTTCAGTCTAATTTTGCAGACATATACCAGACTGTATTTATAAATATGGGTGCCCTCAAACTGCATGTGAAAATAGCTATTTGAACAAGAAAAAATATAGGAGCAGTAAGTTATGTATGCAAAAGTAGGAGTCATTGGCAGAAGCCCAGAGCTGAATACTAAATCTTCTTGGCAATTACACAAACATGGAAAGTAACACTCCCAGATATCCCCACCTTCACTTGCAGCTAGATCTCGTGGGCATAGTTTCTTATTCACAGGTAGGTGAATACGACCAGCTGCTCTTACCCACAATCCTCACTATTTATTTATTTAGTTTGAAAGGAAGGGTCAGTTAAAAACATTAAGATGATGCTGGGCACACACTGTAAGAAAACTTGATCCTTTGCAAAACATTTTCTTTCCATGCTTGATTCCGCACTGAAGTCGATGAAATCTGAATTTAACATTTCATTCGCTATTTCTATGGCAGTAGACTGAGGTAAAATACACAAGCATAGGACTTCTTTGTACTTTAATAAAATCATGCCCCACAAGCTTCTGCAAATAGTCATTTTTTCAAAAGAAACACAGAAAATAACTGGCAGAGCTCATTGTTTTTGTGCAATCCTCTCTTCTTTCATATTTCCTCAACTCAAAGTATTTTGTTAAAATTACTTTAATTTATAGATTAATGATCTGAAGTGTTAGTCTACTGGGATTAGTGAGGAATATTTTAACTGAATTTTCTTTTTGCAGGATGATATTCAGTTACTGAAGGAGCTGAAAGTTAATCACTACCTGCTTTCTATTTCATGGCCTCGTATTATTCCCACTGGTATTAAAAGTAAGCATAATTATTTAGATATAAATCTAAAAGCACATATAGGCAAAACAACTTTGCTACATTTGAGAATACCATTAATAATAACATGATATATTTGTCACACATTACTTGTAAATAGATACCTATTTCTTTATCAGGGTCCTTACGGTATCAGGCATTTTTATGGTATACAAGTGCCTTTACATACATATATACACACATATATACATACACATTTTAGAAAACATTTTCCAATTATTAACATCTAAATGATGTAAAAACAATTACTTCTCTTCTACATTTGTTTCCCCAGAAGAACAGGTGAATGAAAAGGGAATAAAATTCTATAATGATACAATTAATAGTCTTTTGGAGAACAAGATTATCCCTATTGTGACCCTCTACCACTGGGATCTTCCACAGGTCTGAGAATATTTAAATCTATTATGTTTTCTAATCTAGGGTTTCTGGTAGGTAACCTGTTTGTAAAAACAAACACTATGAAAATCATGTTAAGAAAATATTTTAAATATTCCAGCATGCTTTTAAGTTATCAGTAATTTATTTAAGCTATAATTTTACATACTTACACATTTTTTGCATTCACACTACGAGTCACCGTATTCTGCCTCATTCAAACTGCTCAGTTTCATTAAATTACTCTAAGTGTACATCATAGCCTAGTTACTATCTATACTGAGTTACATACACTCTAACCTTTATCAAAGAATAATAGCATATTCAAGCTAGATATTGGTTAATTCTTATAATTATTACTTCTATAGGTGCTGCAAGAAAAGTATGGTGGATGGCAGAATATAAGCATGATAAGTTATTTTAATGATTATGCAAATCTATGTTTTGAGAAGTTTGGGGATCGTGTGAAATACTGGATTACCTTTAATAACCCTTGGGTAAGTTACTGATGTCTTCCTGAGTGGTCATTTGGGCTACATAAATTTGGTTCCCAAACTGTAAAGTTTTTTTTTTTTTTTTTCAAATTATAAAAAACTAACCCTTAAGTTATTTTTTTTCTCATGTGCTTGTAGGCAATTGCTGAAGAGGGCTATGAGACAGGAGAGCATGCACCAGGACTGAAGCTCAGTGGAGTAGGGGCATACAAAGCAGCACATCATATAATTAAAGTAAAACTAGAAATATGTTCTTTCTTGTATTGTTCTTATTTTATGACTGAAATAATTGGGTCTTAATCCCCCTCCCCAAACACACAGGAAAATACGGTTTTATAGCATAGATTCAATTTCTGAACAGCATATCAAAGAACATTCAGATGAGCTAATTTAAATTGAATTCTAAACTATTTGTGTTGCGATCTTACCTACTTAAGTTGTATTCGGTGCACAACATAGCACTCTGTGCAAAAATTTAGAGGACAGGTGGGTTTTTTTAACTTCTGTTTAAATGCCTCATTGAGCATACTGCCTATAGATCAAAAGAAAGAATTTTAAGGTTGCTCTATAAACAAAGGGTGAAATCCTGTCTCACTAATTCCAATAGGAGTTTTGTGACTGACTTCAACAAAGCCAGGATTTCACCCAAAGTGAACAAATTTGACTTAAAGTCTCTCATTAAATACAGACACACAGTAGAACAGATCTGCAGTAAATATTGCATGTCACCTTCACAAGGTCATCTTGGGAGCTGCAAATGATTCTCACATAGATCTGGTTGACATCTTATGTAAAACAAACGCTTCCATGAGAAACAGGAAAGCTTTTTGAATAACCTACAGTAACAATTTTCAGACATGCATTTGTGCAACAAGTTTATCCTCCATGCTTCTGTCACAGTTCAAGACAATTGTGTCCTCCATCTTCCATCCACTCTCAGACTTCCAGCACCCTAAGCGTCACATCTCTTGGGTGGAGACATGCACTTCTCTCCCTCATGACTGGGGTGTAGCCAGGCTGCACGGTTCCCTACTCACACTGTGAATTCCCCAGCAAAATACACTGTCTGAGCAGTGCTTTAAACAGCACAATTGTCTACCAGTGTTTGTTACCACACAGCTCTAAGCAAGTACATTTATCTTTAAGGTGAAAACAATACAGAGAAAACATTTTAAAAAATTAAAACCTATCCACAAGCTAATAAGCTTACCAAGGATCGCCCCAATGGCAAGAGGGGCTCTAGACAGTGAATAGTTCTTCAAACCCCACCATAGTTTTGGTTTTTTGATATTTTTCCCCCTATTTGTAACCACTTTGGCTAAGAATCACCACACACATGAATCTGAGAATCATTCATTTATCCAGTCTGGGCCTCTGATCTTGTTCTCATGTAACAGTTGATCAGCAAACCATCGGTTTCTGCTCAAGAGGAAGTTTCCAAAGGTTGGGTCAGGAACTGAAAAATTGCCTACCCACTCCTTCCAAATATTTCCTAGGAATCCCACTTAGCTTTGTTTGTCTAGCACATTATTTCAAAGAGATCTTTGAAACATGTAACATTAACCAGAGTTCACATTACCCAAGTCTCTGCTCTAGAGACATCACATAAAATCCCACAATAATAAATACATATTAGCATTTTAATATAATGAACTCCGAAGGTATTGAAATTTAAATTTATAAGGTTTAACTTAATTCAGTGAGGTTTGTAGCAGACATTGCCATATCTATCACAAATTCATTGACTCCTCCTGTCCTGATTACTGCATGATAGGTTAACATATATAGATATATGTTCTTTTAATTACAGACTCACGCAAAGGTCTGGCATTCTTATAATAAGACATGGCGTAGCAAGCAACAAGGTAATGAACATTCATTGTGTAATTATGGCTCTACAATAAGGGCTTAAAAGATTATGTATAACTGCAGAACTGTCTTATTTTATTGGTTTTATTTTAAGGTATGGTTGGAATTTCTTTAACTAGTGCATGGGGTGAACCTGTTGACCTAACAAGCCAGAAGGACATTGAAGCTGCTGAAAGATATGTGCAATTTTACTTGGGATGGTTTGCCAATCCTATATACAGTGGAGATTACCCTGAAGTTATGAAAAATTATGTGGGTAAGTCATGCTATTTACACCTTGAATAAATGATATAATTACAACATTTTATGAGAAAGTGGCATAATCTGACTAATGAGTTTTTTAGTGTAAATTAAAGATAGGCTTTGTTAATAAAAATAATGTCAAAGATTACGGAAAAAGGCAAAAATATTATATTTGTTGTTATTCCCATTTTATATACAGGTTGGACCTCACTGGTCCAGCACCCTCAGGACCTGACTGGTCCCTGATGAGGGGATTTGCCGGATCAGGGAAGGTCCCTCCCCTCATGGCCATTCTGCCACTGGGCTAGGGCTGCAGCCTGTCCCTGCTGCTGCCCACCCCCGCTACTGCTGGGGCCCGAGCGCCACTGCCAGAGTTCTACAGCTGGGGCAGAGCTCTGCTGCCGCCTGGCTCCATGGCTGGGCCCAGAGCTCTTCAGCCAGGGCAGAGAGATGGGGCCGGAGCTCTGCAGCCCAGGTCAGGGCTCCCTGGCTGCCACTGAGGCTGGAGTTACCCAGCTGCTGGAGCCACAGCACAGCTGGAGCCAGACAGGGGGCCAGAGCTCTTTGGCTGCTGCTGGGGTCAGAGCACCCTGGCCTGGGCCTGGTAGCAGCCAGGCTAGAGCTCCCGAGCTGCTGGGGCCAGAACTCCCCACCATGCCATCTGTCCACCCCCTCCCCCCCACACTCTCTAGGCTCCCAGCTGAGTCACCGGTGCCCCTGCCCTGCCGCCAGACCTCTCTCTTCCTGGGCTCTGTCGTCCCGGACCATTCGTGGTCCATGCCAGACCACAGATGCTGCCGGACCAGACAGTCCCAGTTAAAGGAAGTACAACTCTTATGAGAAAATAAAATAAAAGTTATGTGCCCAAGAATACATGGTAAGTTAGCAATGAACACCTTGACCCTTATTATGTGTTTTAAGGCTGAGATTTTCAAAGACCACTATGGGAGTTAGACAACTAAATTCCTGATGCACTTCTGAAAATCCCAACCTAAAAAAAAAAAAAAAATCACATTTCTTCTGTCTTAGCCACATGAAGTAAAGATAAAAGAACGAAGACTGTTGTATTAAAAGAAAACATTCATTCCAGGCTTCACAATACTAGCAATTAAAATTTAGGATAGTATAGCTTAGCTTTTATGGTATTAAGAAAAGAAGAAAAATTAAATCATTTGTGGACGATGTATTTACTTTTTTGTAATTGATTTAATAGGTAGAAAGAGTGCTCAACAAGGCCTGGGCACATCAAGATTACCATCCTTCTCAGTACAAGAGAAAAGCTACATTAAGGGTACATCTGATTTCCTGGGAATAAGTCATTTTACTACTCGTTACATTATAGAGAAGAATTATTCTGCCTTCCAAGGGCCCAGTTACCACACTGATCGTGATTTGGCAGAACTGGTTGATCCAAAGTGGCCAGATCCAGGATCTAAGTGGCTATATTCTGTGCCCTGGGGATTTAGAAGGTTACTCAATTTTGTTAAGGTAACTTTAAATTAAGTCTTCTTTAAAGAAAGTTAAGAGTCTTGATTAATACACGCTATGAATCTGTATCTCAGTGTTAGTCATAAATACACATCCATCAGTTTTCTTATCTGTATACTGAAGGCTTGTTTTTTATCATATAGCTAGCAGAAATGGGCATCGATCTCAGTTGGGGCTTCTTTCCACAATAATATTAGCAATAGTTTATTACAAACTTCAGCTGACCCAAAGAAAAATGTTAAAATTTAACTACAGTTTTCTTTAAATGTAACCATAGTAGGGGAAAAAAAATCTAGTAAACACATTTAAAAGAATTTTCTAGAAATGTAGTTTTGTTTAAAAAATAATTGTAGTTGTATGAAGTATATTATTTCATTATTCCAATATGAATGTTTTTCTTTGTAGACACAGTATGGAAATCCTCTGATTTACATAACAGAGAACGGAGTTTCAGAAAAGCTGCAGTGTATTCAGTTGTGTGATGAATGGAGAATGGATTATCTGAAAGGATATATTAATGAGCTGCTAAAAGGTGAAGTTTAAAAAATGGACAATCACAATAAAATGTGTTTCAAAATATGTTTTAAGCACTGTAATTTTTTAACTCTTTGAAATTCTGACATATACTAGGTTCATTATTGTAACTGTTTATCAATTTCCATATTTACAAAGCAAAAACTGCACCTAATAATATACTGTACGTAATTATACCTGTGAAATCTTCCAGTGCACCTAGATAAGAATAATATTTTCAAAAGTGCCAAAGTGACTTAGAAGCCTAAGTCTATTGACTTTCAGTAAGAGTCAGGCACGTAAGTGACTTAAATGCTTTTGAAATATTTACCCCAAATTTCTCCTTCATTTTTGGATAAAATAGGGTGCTACATTTGGTATAAAATAGGGCACTATATTTTTTGTGAAAACATACATTTGATGTTTTTAACACATTTTAAATCTATCTGCAGCTATCAATGATGGTGTTAATGTAAAAGGTTATACTGTCTGGTCTCTACTGGATAAATTTGAATGGAATAAAGGTTATTCTGAAAGATTTGGGTTATACCATGTTGACTTTAAAAAAGGGAACAAACCTCGATACCCAAAGGCATCTGTTCAATATTACAAGATGATCATCAATGCAAATGGATTCCCAAATCCAAGAGAGGTGAGTCTAAACATTAAAACTGCTTATTCCTAATTCACGAACAAATCCTGCATGGAGTTTGATTAAAAAAATGCATGAGAAAGGTATACAGGATTTGACTTTAGATTTCATCATTCTTTTCTCTCCCTCATTCCCCTCCCACGAGCTGACACAATCCTAATTAAATAAGTAGGCATACTATAGTAATTTAAGCTTATTTGTATTGTTCTTTTATAACACTTTCAATCTTTTTGATCAAATTAAATTTAGTAAATTAACTATTTAAACAAACCTTTGTAATCATAATACCCACATTATTAATCTACTGTGTTTAGAGACATTGTCTTTTATACTTTCCAGACATGGCATGTGCGTGATGTCTAAAACCCTAGAAAAGAATATGGAAACTATGGAGTGAGTTTTCCAGTTAATCATTTGGTACAATACACAATAAACAATATGAAAATATATTACTAGAATATTCATCATAATATGTACAATGTAACAGAAATTCATACAACTGAATGTAGTGTGAGAATAAAAGAGTACTAGAAATAATTATAAATGACTAAAGTTCATTTTCCATATTGAAAAAAGTACTAATAAGACCAAGTATATTAATAATTTAGTGAAATCATTACTATCACATCAAATAATAATGTTGATTTTATAGGTGAAAAGTTGGCACCAAAAGGCCATAGAAACTTGCTCTATCACAAACCAACTCCTTGCTGCAGGTAACTACATTTAATCTGTTTTACTCATTCAGTGAACATATTATATGGGTGTAGAGGGAAAACATTTCTGTGATTGATAGTACATTAAAACTGGGTTCTTGAAATATTTTCTCCTTGAAGACAGAAAGCCAAATCTTTTTAAAATATGATAAATTTTAGAATCAAGCAGTATGTCTTAATTCACTATTAGTACTGTACTTCAAAATAGTGCAGCTAACAGGATTATATTACAGTTATTAATATTTCTGAATGTGCTTTAAGAATTATATTAAAACACTGTGGTCACAGCTATTAAAAACTTATTTCTGCATATATTTGTATTTCTCAGAAATTGTTTGCCCTTTCCAAGCATAAAGCAAAAACCAAATCCAAGGTAATCATGAAAAAAGGGGAAAATGGCAAATGTGTAGCTTTTGAATGATGAACATAAAAACTAAGGGTGAAAACACACAGCCCAGGCAGAGGTAGAACTAAGGAGACTTTAAACCACCTTTGTGCTTTGTTTCTCTAGGGATCAGCATAAATTAGACAAGGTTTCAGAACCTAAATGTAGGCAGTTTCCTAGACTGCCCAACAATTCACAGCACTGCCTGGAATAGCCACAGTGCTGTTGCCTAACTCCATCTCCATTTCCCACGCTGGGACTTATGAAAAGCCCATCAGTTCCTGAACTGGGGGAACACTCTATTGGAGTGGAAACATGAAACCATTAAGGAAGATGGGATGAATGTGGTACATTGGTGTAGACCATACTGTATTGTAGGATTAAGCTGGGGGTCATCTCTATGAATTAACATGACAGTATAATTTAAGTGTGTTATTCAACTCTTTGAGGGCTACTATCATATACAGTATGCGTCAAAATAATTTGTACTACAATCACTAAATAAAAGTTTAAAGAAGTAATGCCATCTTAATTCTGCAGATACAATGCAGTCCTCAAAGGGTTAGAGTGCTTTCCAAGGATTTTTATTTGACTATTTTCTTTTCCCCCTTCTCCTTGAAAATTAGAGGAACAGCGGAATGCTGCTGCTAATATACTGAGGCTAATTCATGGTAAGCACAATTTTTTGTAACCCTTTGAGCACTGACATGTTTCAAAATTTACCTCAAAAGATACAGATGGAGAGCCTAAAACTTGCTGCAGATTTTCAATATAGGTTGAACCTCACTAGTCCAGCACCCTCAGGACCTAACAATCAGTGCTAGAGAACTTGCCAAACTTCAGGAGATCAATATTGTATAGCAGCATTACTAATACTTCCACAGCTTACTGGGCTCTTAAAAGACATTCAGGAGTGGTGGCTATAAACAAACTTGATGGGGCAGTGGAAAACTTGGCCACACCCATGATAACTAATCTGGCTAACTAAAATCAGATTTTTCCAGACCAGAGAATGCCAGACTAGAGAGGTTCAACCTGTACATATAAAATATATTTATTTTTCTTTTTTCTCTGTTGTTTCTACTTATGCCAGTTTTAAGAAGATGCCAATATGTAAAAAAATGAATTTTAGCTTTAAACAAATCATGTTTAAAATGATTCAAAGCTATGTATCTCTGCTTAAAAAATGGAAGGAACAAATTACTAAAATTATTCCATTAAAATAGATCTTGTCTGTTATTGTTTCTTTTCTCAAATTTCAGATCCCTTGACTTCTCACATGGAAATGGTGACTGAGATTGTGGTGCCAACGGTGTTCACACTATGCATACTTATCAGTGCCATTCTATTAATGTTTCTCCTTCGGAAGCACAACTAAAACTACAAGTTTACATAATAACTTCATTTTGCATAAGCAATAAAATGCCATTCTGATTCTTACACTGTTTAAAGGTTTCGCATATGCTTCCTTTATGTAACATTGTAATGTTAAAAAAAATCAGCTTTACTATTGTGTACATATTGTTGCTTCCACATATTAGTTAATTTCAGCTATAAGACATAATTTAGCAATTTTACAAAGACAATTCAGATATCTCAGTATTATTTTCTATCAAAACTCAACTGCAAGTTTTATCTTCCTTTATGTCGTGCACAGTATGTGTTTTCTTCATTAAAACAACAGTTGGCTGAGATTAAATTGTTTCAAAGCTTGCCAGGATATATTTCAAGGAAAGGCAGATTGTTGGCAAGTTCTGTTTTCAACCTGTTCATCACTGTATTTTTAAATTACCGTGAAAGTGCTAATACAGAAATATGAACACAGAATACTTACAGCATAACATACTTCAAAATCTTAATGGTATTGCATAAATATTAACTATTTATCCATACACAAGAATAATTAGGTATTAATATCCCAAATTTTGCATGCAGGTGTAAGATGTGATAGGCTAACTGACTTGTTCACAAATGGTCAGAGCCAGAACCAGAAGTACAGAATCTAGGCACCTAAACTACCTTATCATTAGGGTCCCGCGAAACTCAGTCCATTTTGGTCAATTTCATGATTACAAGATTTTAAAAATCATAAATTTCAGTTTCAGATATTTATAACTGATATTTTACTGCTGAAAGGTGGGGATCCCAGACCAAAAAGAGCTTGTAGGAGGGGAGATCACAAGGCTATTGTGTGTGGGGGGTGAGGGTTCACAATATTGCCACTGTTTCTTCTTAACTGGTGCTTTCAGAATTGGACAACTGGAGCATGGCAGCTGCTGACTTGGAACCCAGCTCTCAAGGCAGCACCACTGCCAACAGTAGCACAGAAGTGAGTATGGCATGGTATGGTATTTCTCCCTTACTTCTGTACCACTGCCAGCAGCAGTGCAAATATAAGTGTAGCAATACCATAGTGTGCCACCCTTACTTCTGTGCTGCTGCTATCAAAGGTAGGTGGAAAGAAAGCAACAACTGCTGGCCAGGAGTCCAGCTCACCACCAGAAGTACCGCAAAAGTGAGAATGGCCTGACATAGTATTATCACTAATACTTCTGAACTGCTGCTGGTGACGGTGCTGCATTAAAGGTGGATTCCCAGCCAGCAGCAGCAGAGCTTCCTGCAGTCAGGAGAGGTTCCTGGAAGTGAGGCTGATCCAGCACTGGGAGCAGCCCATTGTAGGGGAAGAGGAAATCCAATCACTCCCCTGCATAGCTAGAATTAGCAGCTGTAGCCCAGGCACTCAGTACCCCTGACTGGAGAGCTCCCAGCCCTGCTACTAGCTCAGTGCTCAGGAGTTAAAGGGGCTTTGGGCTGGCCATGTGTGTTTGGGGAGTGACCACAGTGCCCCGGGGAGTCACAAGCATCACCCAACCAGCTCTGCTCTTCCTCCCACTCCCACAAAAGTGACAAACCCTTTCATACCTTTGGACCTTAATGTTTGCACTGCTGTTGGTGGCAGTATTTCCTTGAGAGCTGTGCACTCTCTGGCCACCCAGCTCTAAAGCTGTGCTGCCACCAGCAGCAGCGCAGAAATAAGGGAGGCAGTACCATGACCCCATGACAATAGCCAGATTTCTAGTGGAGACTAGATTTCATGGTCCAGGACACATTTTTCATGGCGATGAATCTACTAGCACCCTACTCATGATACATCTTTCTTTATTAGAAAATGTTGCACACAAAAAAATAAAATCCATGTGATCCAAAGACTTGGACATAAAAATTAATCTACCATACCAAATTCAATACTGCTGCAAGTACAGCTTAATCAAGATGCACCTGCTTTTACAAAACTAAACTAGTTCCAGAGTATGGTTAGCAACTGCCATTGCTTGGCCTGAAAGCATTCCTCGAAAGCAAGACACGAAGCAAACTTTATATGTTCACAACTTTTACAAAAATTCCAAAACACAAACTCATGTGGGGATCTCCAGTTAACTATGCACAAAAATAGATAGAATTCTAAGCTTCTACTCAAGGGTGAATAAAAATCAACGACAGCCTAGGGCTGGCTGCGAAGATTGGCAGCAGCGGCCCGGGGGCCTGGGGCTGGCAAGCAAGACACGAAGCAAACTTTATATGTTCACAACTTTTACAAAAATTCCAAAACACAAACTCATGTGGGGATCTCCAGTTAACTATGCACAAAAATAGATAGAATTCTAAGCTTCTACTCAAGGGTGAATAAAAATCAACGACAGCCTAGGGCTGGCTGCGAAGATTGGCAGCAGCGGCCCGGGGGCCTGGGGCTGGCTGGGAGTCCCAGCCACACCCAGCAGTCCGGGGCTGGTTGTGGAGCTCAGTGGCAGCAGCACTAGGACCAGGGGGCCCGATAGCCAGGAGCCTGGCATCAGGGCCAGGGGAGCCAGGAGAAGAGCCCATCTGGGTATGCTGACAGACCCCGGGAGAACCCACAGTCTGTCAGCAGAGCGGCCAGAATTTACCTCCCCTGATCCAGAAAAATCACTCTTTAGGGACTGTTCCCATGTAATCTATTAAAAATAATTTAAATAAATCTGAATAAATAAAAAATCTCATATACTGATTCAGAGAGCCCTTTTCAAATAATAAGTGAAAGGCTGTTTATCTGGCATATAAAATCAGGGGGGAATATAACTACATCATTTGGGGGTTAAACTTAACATGGTACAATCTATATTATTTTCAGTTTTAATAAATGCTAGCAGTTGTTTTTCTGCACAACAAACTGCAAGTACTGACATTTGGAAAAAAAATTTAGCCTCAAATTACTGAACAAACGTATATTATACTATATTATTAGACAAATGTGCATCCTCCTAGCTAAAAGTACCACCAAATATAATATAAAGTTTATATTTAGTTGTAAATAATCAAATCAGTGTGTTTTAATGGTTATATGAATATTCTTTATGAAAACAACTCAAAAGTACGAATGAAAAAAGAGATTAAATTTATTTATTTTTTTTTGCATTTGAGGGAACGTTGAATTTGGACTGGATGAGAAGAGCAACTCCAAAATAAAAGTAGAGAGACTTAAAGAAAACTGAAGTTATTTTACAAAATGTATATGCTACTGGAAGAGCAGCTCTCCAAATATGTCTTATTCATGTAACATCAGTAAAGATTCATAATATGGTTTGCTCTTGGTCAACTACATTGTACAAGAATAAAAATTAAATTTAAAATGTAAAAAAGTAGACTATTCATAAGCTATCAAAATTAATTTTTAAAGAAATTATTTTATATATTTTAAAACAGACTGTTACAATATACCAAAAAAAACTGCACATGTACTGTTGAATTAGAGGTACATCTAAATTCCTACTTTAAACACACATTAGCAAATAACATTCTTCCAACCACAAAATATGTTTAGATATGCTGGGAGGGAAACAGACAAGCCGACATTTTCCACTTACTGTACCTCCTAAGGCTCTATCTGTACAACAGCAGTCTTTTATGTAAAATGCACCTGACTGCAGTTAGCCATGGTAATAAAATACATACTTTCTTCTGTGTTTCCATTAACTGTTGTATCACAAAGTACTCCTGCAATACAAAATAACAATGAGGTAACAGGATATTCTTACAAATTACAGCTCACAAAAAAATTTGATGTGACTGTTTCAAGATGTTATATGCATCAAGATCCACTGAAATTAACAGGCTCTCAAAATTATTTTGAAAGATAAGAAAATGTCCGTGATCTGTTTTGCTACCTCCATAAGAAAGGCAAATCAAATTTACACTATCCTATATTTGGAATTCTTCCCTAGCTTTTTAAAGAGTTTTTTAAAATGTTACTCCAGCCAACATGGTGAGTCTAGACACCTGCTCTTCACGTTAATAGACTTACTCTATACTGGACTGAAGCAGGATACCAAAGTTCAAAGACAGCTCTATTTAGAACTAGGTTTCCATTAATTTTGAAAGTAACAGGCAAGTTGGGGTGGGAAAAATCACCACATTCAAAAATGTTTATCTCATATCATTACAACGTACACAACCAATAAATACTGTAATGGAAAGGTTTTTTCCCACCTCATTTGTTTACTTTGTATATACAGCAACAATTTACATATAGCCAGTTTCACTACTTCTACATACAATTTCTCCTACTCTGCTAAAGCGATTCTTATGCATAATAAAGGAATTAAAAATATTTATGTCACACTGTTTAAAAAGAGTACTATATGAGAAACTGGAACAAAACAACCCATCACTATTTAATTTTTAAAAACTTCAAGCTGATCGTGTCACTTTAATATTTTATACCAGAAATTGTTTCTTACCTAGGTTGTTTGAAGTCAGATGTTCAACAGGAGGTCTAGTGCTAAGCTGCCAAACTGTTTTTACCATTTTCTGACCGTATTCACTACTTATTTCCAATCTCCATTTTTGTGCATGATCACTGAGGAAAAAATTAAACAGAACAAAAAACCCCTAATAATTATGTACTTGATCAATATTCGATTTTCTGTATTATGAAAGCTGAGATTTGGCTTACTTTTGATAGAACTTCTTAACAATAGCTGGTCTGATTGGTAGCTGAAACACATGCTTCTCATTCAGAGGATTTTCTTTGTAATATTTGATGCAGGATCTGTGATAAAAGCAGTTAAATCTGTTACTTATTATTTCCTGGTAAGTGTTTATGCAATTATTCAACCCCAGATCAATATACATGCAAAACTCACTACATTTTCATGCCTTCTTGGCAATAGATCAGTAATTCTTATAAAAGCTGTGTGTAACTGACAATAAATAGGTTGGGATTTTGTGCTATTTGAAAGCTAAATGGATGAAAACCTCAAAAAATTGCAAGGTTTGGAAGAATGACTTGAAGTGTCTGACATAAGACATACAAGAAAAAAGCTGCAGCAACAAGAAAGCTAATGTAAAAAAAAAAACCTAAAATTTTTGTTCGAGAAGTTACTCTGAAGGTATGTTCTTATGAATATCTCTTTTATGTATTTCAGAATGGAGGAATGACTGAAATCTGCTAGCTCACAAAGGAAAAAGAGAAGAAAATAAAAATGAGGGTTCTAATGATTTTTTGAACCCCCTCAGATGGTGGGGGAAGTATAAAGGTGTAAATCAGGGCAGAAAAATTGAACATGAAGATCCAATGCTTTCATAGCAGTCCATGTCCATCACAATCATATCAATAACGTACAGCTTATAAAATACTTTTGAATGTATCTAGTTATTTTAAAATAATTCATTTATTACTGACATTCAAATGATGACAATAAAAATTAAATAATTACTGCATCAAAGGGAAGAGGTTCTCATATTTGAAGTGAAGAAAGACTGTGCAGCTGACCAATATTTCCAGCACATGATGAAGTTTTTGAACACGATGAACCTGCTCCTGTAGGTCTACTGCTGTGGAAATGAAGTAGTCCTATAGACGAAAAATAGGGACTTGAAAACAAGAAATTAACAAAGCTTTTAAAGAGAAACTGTTGGTGTTGGGTGAATTTAATAAGCCAACCAGACAATTTGTACACATTCTGAAGATCCTCTCTTCTAGGTATAGGGTACTGATTTATAAAAATCCTACTCCCAGAATGCTTAATTAAGCAAATCACTTGTAAATTAAACAAAATGTTTTCTTGCAGCCAAGATACGTAACAATGCATGCAAACCTACAACCTTGAACTAACCCTAGAGCATGTGTTGTGTTCATATTGAATGTTAAAATCTCATTCCCTTCCCTACTTAAAAAATAAAGTTTAGTGATGGTGAAAAAAATACTGGATTATACAAGGGACCTGTATAAAATAACTAGCAAGAGTTTAAAATCCCTCTTAATCTGCAAATACACCCCTGCCTTCACCTGGAAAGACTATCTCTTAGATGAGAAAGTAGTTATACCTCCACGGCTATGCAATTTTTGGATTTCTGCTAAAAATACCAAAGAAAATGCTAATTGGGATGGTTTGTGCTGCAGTCGATGGTTTTGGTTCATTATGAATTTATTGTGTGAGGTTATAATTGTTATAGCATATATATTCATTGTATTTCAATTGGAGTTAATTTGTTGGAGTATAAAAGTATATGATAGTTTCTCTAAATACCAAACTATGTACTAGACATGAGTAAGATGAGCTGAAATACAAAAACCTGTAAGTCAAACCCTGCAAGACTTTAGCTTAGCTATTTTAGGCCTTGAAGACAATAAATAATGATGTAAGTGCCAGGAAATATCCGGATGCCCTAAGAATGTGGGAAAAGAGGTACCAAGTGATAATATTGCCAACAATTATCCAGAAGATTAATATTAAATCATAAAATACCATAAAGAGACATCTGCCCCAGACACTGTCTTAATCAAGGGATACAGGTTGTTCATCAATTCTAATGAGAATAAAGGAAACTTACCCAGCCTATACAAAATTGGGGTCCCTTAAATTTCTAGGGTACACAGACCAGTAAGAGGGCTTACACTTTTATGGACATGCACAGAAAGCACGTGTAGACCAGTGTTTTTTAAACTGTGCTCCGCAGCACGGAGGCAGTCAGAGGTGTGCCATGGAGAACAAGAATTCAAAATAGCTGAACTTAAAGGGGCAGGCTACTTTTTACTGAGGGGGAAAAAAATCCAAACAAAACTTTCCCCTGACCTTTTTTTTCCCTCAATAACTTTCCCCCTGACCCGTTATCCCACAAACTCCCCTCCCCCCAACAAAAAATCCTTTGTGTTCCTCATTAAAAAAAATGGTTTGGTGTTCCTCGGTCTTAAAAAGTTTAAGAAACACTGGTGTAGACAGAGTCACGTTATAAAAAGTGGATGCCCAGAATGGGAAAACTGAGCTCCCTCTGGGAGACTCCAGCAGGAACCACCTCTCCACTGATGATCACACCATGAGAGATCCATCAGACCCTAACATTATTGCCAAGGATGTGAGTATAACTGTATTTGTAACTTGTGCATAGGTCTGTATAGAATTTCTATGTGCTTGGATAATTACAACTTTAATTGCAGCTTTAATAAAATATACAATGTAGACTAGATTTTGGCACTTGTGAATGTATACATGGTCACAACATTCAATCTGTGTGTGTTCCTAGAGACTCTGAATTTGAAGCAAGTTAATAGAAGCGAATCTCACTCTGTTAAGCTTGAAATTGTAGCCACCAGGGCTGAATCCATGCTTATGTAATACCATGTTACACAATTTACTTTACATAAAATGAAAGGCTACAGTGCAATATGGGTCACAGTCTATAGGATATAAAAAATTATTTTAAAAAACCCATTAAAAACCCTAGTGGTTACACTTTGCGCTCTGCAGTATAAGGCTTATACTGTAGAGCTTGCAGCACAGCCAGCTCCCCAGGAGCGGGCCTGACAGCCAGGAGCTGGTGTGTGCCAGGAGTCGGCTTATAAACTGGCTCCCAGCGCACACTAATTCCCGTCCCCGCTCCCAGGGAGCCAGCTATGCAACATCAGAATAAGCTTTATGTTGTAGAGCCAATAGTGCAGGGCAGCAGCTGGCTACCTGGGAGCAAGGCTGGCTGGCAGATGGTACATGGCAGCGAAGAGCGTAACCATAATGGAAACCAATAAGCTGATGCTTATCTGCTAATCCCATGTTTCTCAAACTGTGGGTCCCGACCGCCCAGGGGGTTGCAGCAACTTAGAGGAGGGTCGGGGTATCACAAAATTTGAGAACCCCATGTTAACCATTTAAACTGTTACACTCTTACATCCTTAATCTACACTTCCAATTCTTTTTACATAGGTCAAACAGCTGTAAAGTGGTGGCAACTTTATCAATTATTTCAGCAAGTTTGAATAAGGGCCTAGGTCTGATTTGAACCAGAGAGCTGGAAATGAAATGTGGAGGTGTCATACTAACAAGAACACTACCACTTTGCATTCATGGTTTTCATTCAAGCTTTTTAAAAAAGATGGGCGGGTATTTCCATTTTAAAGATGGGGAAAACACATACAGGTTAAGTGATCTATGCATATGTTCACACAGCAAGTCAATGGAACAGTTTGGAAGAGAATCTAGATTTCCTGACCCATAACAGAATACCCTATCCATGAGACTAAGCAGCTGTTACCAATCATGTCAGCTATTAAGCCTTCACTTAGTTTCCTTAAAATTAGCTAGCTGTATGGATTAGTGACAGAATTTCCATGATCAAGAACATGATTTGGAAGAAAAGGTGTTTTTAATACAGTAAACCTGTGCTATCCGGAATTTAAGCATCCAGAAAACTGCAGAAACCGGCAAATTTCTGACGCCGGGAAAAGCAAAACAAACTAACAAACAAAAAGGAAACTGGCTCTTTAAGTGCTGGGCCACTCCTCAGACAAGCATGCAGCACGTACCTGGAGGTGGGGCGAACGGCAGCCAGAAGCAAGCAGCAAGCATCTCGGCTCCCCCCACAGCTCCTGGCACCCCAGCAGGCCATCCCCCCCACGGCTTCCGCCCCCTTGCCAGCAGGCTGCCCCCGCCCTCTCTGCCTCCCGGCTTCCACCTCCCCTCACCAGGCCGCATTCCCCCTTTCTCTCCCCACTACAGCTCCTGGCCCCCCTAGCAGACCACATCCCGGTTCCCGCACAGCTCCCCCCTCCCCAAGATAACCAGAATTTTTAGGTTACCGGCACGTCCTAATCCCCGGGCATGCCGGATAACACAGGTTTTACTGTAGTAGATTTCTAGGACTGTCAATGTTGACAGTGTTCACTTCAAATACATATGAAACACCAATTCAGAGTCGTACCACAGTGATAAACAAGCAAAACTTTCAGGGTCATCACAAGGCAACAACTATAAAACCCTATTTCTAACCTCAATCCTTCCACAGAATGTGCCTTCACAGTTAATGTAAACTTTCTCTACTACTGAAGTAGAAATTTTGTTTCAAAACCTGTAGGCACTCTTTTCCCAGAACAATACCCAAATTAACAGACAGGATTTTACAGCTCCCTACAAAATATTGGACATAGCTCTTTCATATTTTTCAAGTGGAAGTAGCTCTGTAGATAATTACATGGAAGGTGGTACCTCAGCTTTGACCTAATTTCTTCCTTTCTGCCCTCATCAGAGCTTCAAATAAGTGTTTGAAATGCTCACTTTTCAAGGCTGAGAACTCAGAATGCATGTCATAGTCTTGCAAATAGCCATTATGAATTTAGAAAGAAAATTAATCCACAAAAGAATGTATCAAAGCTCTATGTTGCTTTCAAAATAAGAAACTAAAATATCTCACCAGATAAGTTAATGTTCCAAGTTCCTGATCTGAAAAACAAAATAAAGATTTTTTTAAGAAACCAAAATACAGGCTACACAGTGGCAGTTTCAGGCATAAGCAAAATACACTTAGAGTGAGTCTACACAGCACCCTAAACTCAAAATTACATAGTCAATGTGTGCTACACATATTGTGTATCTTATTTCGACTGAATTTCTAAATAGGCCATTTCGAAATCTGGCGCATCTACACAGTGCCAAATTTCAAAATAACATGCTATTTCAATAGTGATAGGAATGTAGCCGTGTTAGTCTGGTGTAGCTGAAACAAAATACAGGACTATGTAGCACTTTAAAGACTAACAAGATGGTTTATTAGATGTTGAGCTTTCGTGGGCCAGACCCGCTTCCTCAGATCAAATAGTGGAAGAAAATAGTCACAACCATATATACCAAAGGATACAATTAAAAAAAAGAACACATATGAAAAGGACAAATCAAATTTCAGAACAGGAGGGGGATGCGGTGGGGGGGAGGGGGAAGGAAGGTAAGTGTCTGTGAATTGATGATATTAGAGGTAGGGAGAGTGGGATGTTTGTGAGTTAATGGTATTAGAGGTGATAATTGGGGAAACTATCTTGGTAATGGGTGAGATAACAAACATTTGAACTAAGTCCTTGTTGGAAAGTGTCGAATTTTAACATGAATGACAGTTCAGAGGATTCCCTTTCAAGTGCAGATGTAAAAGGTCTTTGTAGCAGAATGCAGGTGGTCAAGTCATTGAGAGAGTGTCCTTTCTGGTTAAAATGGCAAGAAACTGTTTTCTCTTTGTGATCTTGTCTGATATCTGTTTTGTGGGCATTAATCCTTTGGCGAAGTGTCTGAGATGTTTGTCCAATGTACATAGCAGACGGACACTTTCAGCACATGATAGCATAGATTATATTTCTGGATGCGCAGGAATATGTGTGCTTGATCTTATAACTCACTTGGTTAGGTCCAATAATGGTATCAGCAGAATGAATATGTGGACAAAGCTGGCAACGGGGTTTGTTGCAAGGGAAGGTACCAGGGTTGGTATTAGTGTGGTATGTCAACATACCAATTAGTGTGGTAGTATCAACAACCACAGGACATACCACACTAATACCAACCCTGGTACCTTCCCTTGCAACAAACCCCGTTGCCAGCTTTGTCCACATATTCACTCTGCTGATACCAGACCCCAGTTATCTTACCCATTACAAAGATAGCTTCTCTAATTATCACCTCTAATACCATTAGCTCACAGACATTTACCTTCCCTGCCCCCCCGCATCCCCTTTCTGTTCTGAAATTTGATTTGTCCTTTTCATGTGTGTTCTTTTTTTTAATTGTATCCTTTGGGATATATGGTTGTGACTATTTTCTTCCACTATTTGATCTGAGGAAGTGGGTCTGGCCCACGAAAGCTCATCATCTAATAAACCATCTTGTTAGTCTTTAAAGTGCTACATAGTCATGCTATTTCAAGACATCCCTTAATCCTTGTGGAATGAGGGTTACCGGGATGCTGAAATAGCATGCTCATTATTTTGAAAAATATTTCGAAATAACGGGTGGCTTGTGAAAACAAGGGGTAGCTATTTCAGGATACCAGAGGTATCCTGAAATTGCCAAGCAGTGTAGACGTATCCTAAGTGAAGAGTACAGTCACCTCACCTGAGGTCTTGTTTGTACTCACTGCTGTTAAGTACAAAGAGAAACATGAAGTGGTTCCTCCAGCCAGGGTGAAGCACCGCCCCTGCCTGCAGTGTGCTGCTCCAGATAGGCCAGACCCGCCATGAACAGAGGGGCTGCGCCAGCAGAGCTGGAGTACCCCTAGCCACAGTGCACCGGGCTGCGTGCAGCATGGGCAGAGGCTGTTCTAGCTGGGTTTGAGTGTCCCCACCGGCAGCATGCTTCTCCACCCAAGCCCACCAAAGGCAGGAGCTGCTCTGGCCAAGCTGCAGTGCCACAACTGGCAGCACTCTGCTCCAGCCGGGCCCAGTCAGCTGCAAATGGGGACTTCTCTGACTGAGCTGGAGCAGCTCCCTGTCCGTGACAAGCACCTCCGGGCCCACCATGGGTGGTGCTTCTCTGGCTGGGTTGAAGCAGCGCCCCTGTCCATGGTGGGCTGTTCTAGTCTGGAGCCGCCCCCGATGGTTAACCACAAACATTAAAAACATCACCAGGTAACCATTCACATCCCTAGTGATAAGAACAGATTTTTCAGGAAACAAGGAAAAAGACTAACATGACAGAATAGTGTTGAAGTTAAGATAAACAAAAACAGAGGTAATAGACTGTTTGCATTAAGAAGAGTTTTTTAGTGAATGTCAAGTCATGCCTTTAAATAACAGGTTTACCTATAAAACAACTGACATAATCTTTCTTCATTTTGTCGAGCCCAATCTCCAGAAGCATTTGAATTGGGGTGATACCAGTCAAGGAAATAGCCTCCATAGCTCCATGATAAGTTTGATTAATCAATTTGCTTAGTAAACTGCTACTCCCTTGATGAATCTAAAAATAAAAGATGCTTTCTTGTCTTGTAATGTATAGATGAAACACAAATGGTATAATTTACAAGTAAGACATTATTTAAAAAGTTAAACTAATAGTTCACTATTTAATAACGGAATTTAAAATATTGTCAAAATGGAGAGCAATTTACAAACATTTAAAAGAATTTTATCCTAATTTATTTACAAAATCAAAGCTGATATTTTTATCATCAAAACATATTAAGGTTACATATACATACCCATGGCTGTATCTCACCATTTTCTAGAGATCTGATGACCAGTGTGAAACACTTTACCAAGTCTTGATAAGAAGAGACACCTTGATAAAAGAGTTATTCTAATATTTAACTTATAATGGCTACAAAAACATGTCTGTCTTTATCATATAGATAAAAAAGTTGAATACACAAATTATAAGAAAACAAGAAAACCCCACAAGCTTATTGTACACAAAAGTCCAAAGACCAGTTTAAGTGTGCAACTAAACCAAGAGGTCTTGCACTACATCATGTAGTTTTATAAACTCTGGTTCTGGCAAAAGGCCTGTGAGAGTAGGTTCCAGAAAATGGTCTTTTACTGATACTGCCTATCCTAGAATTCAGCTCCAAGAGCAACAGCGAAAGCTACTCAGCAGTTTATAACTACTATTAATTAGGGATGTCAAAAAAAGCATAAAAACAGTAACTGTGTAACAGATCAAAATTCTATTGGTTACATGGTTGAATGTTTTACCCAAAGATGTAAGGGTAATGAGGGAAGAATCCTGGAGGGGTGCCTCCACACTCAGGATCCCATTCCCTGGGTTCCATCTGCCTGCCCCATGCCACAGGCTCTGCTGCCAGCAAAATCCCAGTGTGTATGAGGTCCAACTGCCAGCCCCTCTCCAGGGGTCCCGACTGTCAATCTGTCTCTCAGGACCCTAGCAAAGTTTAACCATTAACAGAAACCGATAAGCATCAGGACTCGGGGAAAGGGAAGTGATTTCTCAGTTACCTAATTCCTAGACCATGTCAGGCTCTATAGACTACAATTCAAGGTGTTTATTACAAACTTAAGTAAACAGAAAACAATTCAAACTTAAAGTAAATAGATAACAATGCTTCATGCTCCACAGAAATGAATATATGCTCTTAACTGCTTGTCCTACTTAGGAGACAAGGGTCTGCATTCTGCACCAGCAAAACCCATCAAGTACTAATATACCTGAGCAGGGTATAGAATACATATGTATAGAGTATATTTTAGTCATTTGCTCTTGATGTTGCAAAGGCACTGATTAATATGTCAATATTCACACCAGAAAAGAATGATCATGACTTCCAAGTCAGCACTACATGTAAAAATAAAAAATGCATTTGTGCGCCAAAACTCACTTTGTAAACAAAAAGCAGTAATGAGTCAAATTAATAGGACCCCAAGACTGCAAATATTATTTGCAATGTTTAGCACCTATAACATTTTCTAAAGAACTACTTACTTAAATATAGTCCATAAGCACCAGTAAAGTCTTATTTTATAGATAAATAGCTGTCAATAATAAACATTATTTATTGCTAAAAAGAACCAACAATCAGGAAAAGAGAAAATATGCACATACCACAAGTCACCATGTTTTCCAATAATATTGTAAATAGAGCATGTTATCTTATGATTAAATGAGTAACAATGAGCTTTAGACCTGTTTATGGCATAACCATCCTGGAGAATTAATCAGTTCTTAAAACTTGGATAAACTTATACCAATTTCTTAAAATATATATCAAAAGGTGGTATAGGAAATGTATGAAAGTTATAAGGCAGTGAAAAAAAGATAAAACACTTACTCCTTCTCATTTTGCACCACAGCTCTTCAGCAAAATCCAGGTCTCCTCTCTCACTAAAAAGCGATTTTATTGAACTGTCCACTGCAGCAGAGTCACATTTGACTTTCTGAAAGAGAGTTTTACTTGAAAATGCTCCTTCAAAATAAAGTCAAATATTTGTCTTAACATTCAAAAGCAGCAGAGTGCAAATGTTTTCAATAGCACCATTCTTACCATTCACAGAATTTACCACATCCTGCCTTCCCTTGCCATCTTTACTTCTGCGCTACTGCTGGAAGCGGTGTTGCCTCAGAACTGGATTGCCAAGGAGTGGCAGCTGCAGGTCAGGGTATGTGTGTTGTTTGCAGGATGAGGGGACTATTTTTCTTAATCCCACTCCCGTCTTGTCCTGCAATATCCACTCTATTTTTATCGTGTCCTAATATCATGAGAGCAGATTCTGCAGGATTCCATTTTCTTCACACCTCCCCAGATTATGCCCCTCATTATACCCCCAGTTTGCACACCGTTCTAAAAATCTACAGAAATCAAATCCTCTCCAATAGCCAAATATTAATCTGAAAAATTAATATTTCTTCTCTTTTCAAATCAGCAGTTCAATTAATACATTTCACACTAATTAAGAAACATATTTTTACCAAGCCTTTAACTAGTGAGGAGCCACTGTCCTAACCTCTTGAGAAACAGCTAATTCCTAAAGATTGTGTGTCCACAAAGGAAAACTGATTTTAGGAGGAAGAATTTATGGCCACTGCAGCACTTGACCTGAATGCTTGCCTAGAATGAGTAAAAATTGACCATGCTTTCATCAAGCCATTCTTTTTACTCCAATTTACAATTTGCTATGCCAGTATAGACAGAAAGTTTTGCCATAAACAACCTCAGTATAGAATTAGAGAAGCACCAGTAAAGAATATGACTAGCACTGCATAGAATTCACAGATGACAGTTACATGATTTCTTTTGTTTTTAAATGCATTGATGTATTGCATCAAATACAAAAAACATTCTTCTTCTGAGCATATGGTTTTCCCATGATCTTTAATGCAAGACTACAGTTTATGATTTTGTTGGTGTACATTAAATCACAGACTTGAGATCAAAATGGAAAAAACTTATTTGACAATCTCCCCACAAAAAGAAAAAAAATCTTAATTATTTATGAAGGAGAAAGATAAATATTAGTAAAAAAATTAAAATCTCTACAAAATTGTTTGAAGTTATGCAAGGCAGGAAGATACCATGGTGATGTGTGCATGTGTAAAGAGCTAGATAGTTAAGTGTGACAGTTTCCAGACCCTCCAGTAAGCTACAAACCATTGGAGAGTCAAGCAAGTGGCAGAATGAAAATGGCACAGAGATCTGAGTCAGGGATGTTAGATATTGTGTAATTAAATAGTCATGTAACTGCATGAAATCTTAGTGGTTACATGACTATTCAATAGTCCTCAGGGGCAGAGCCAGCAGCCAGTGCACTCAGGGTCCCAATCCCAGGAAGCCCCCTGATATCCCACACTGCTGCCTCTTACCCAACCCACAAGGGGAGACAGTTTAAAAACAAACTTCCCTCGCGGACCGACTGCTTGCCGCCCTGCGCTGTTGCCTCTGATACTGAGGCAGCAGCATGGGGTGGCAGAAGTCCTTGTCCGTGGAGGAGCTGAGGTCCTTATCATCATGAGGGCAGGCAGCCCTTATCAGTGTGAGGGCGGGGACCAGGCAGCACCACAGATTATCCGCTCCAGCCTACGCCCTCACACTCCACACTACTGCCTCTCTATCAGAGGAGGCGGGAGGGGTGGGAACTGGCTTAAAGCCAGCTTCTCATGGGCACCAGCTCCCGCTCCCCCCTTCGCTGCTCTGATACAGAGGCAGCAAAGGGAAAGGGGAAATATGCATGTAGTCAACAAGATTAACCGATAAGCCTAGGCTTATCGGTTAATCATATAGTCAACTACTCGTTGAAGTGACTCTGATTAGGAATGTCATGAAAGAAGATGAAATAGCAGCATGTGACCGGTTTAGGAGATGAGAGGGGGAATATTAAGATGATGAAAGGTGATTGTGTGTGGAAGAAATCAGATCTCCAACCTATAGGTAAAGAGAGAGAGAAAGAAAGAAAGAAGCAGATCTTTGTGGAATTAATCCACTCCCATCCATTAGGGTTGGTTTTGTCTGATGGATAAGATCACGGCTACTTCTCTTGGAATGCAGCAATCAGGACTAAAAACTAAGTAAAACTCTAGTGAAAATGCTAATATATAAAACACTGAGGGAGATTCTGAAAAAGTACAAATGGCACTTGACTTTCAGCTAAGTGCCCAGTGGCTTCATATGCCTTTGAAACAATAAATCTCATGCTGTTCCTACTGAATAAGGACAATAGGAGATTTCCAAACTATTGCAGAAACAGTGAATGAAACAAGAATGGTTGAAAATACACATACCTCTGCAGCGTTTTTGTGTACTGATGCATTAAATCCATCCAATTTGTTCTTTAAATCTAAAGGAGCAGGAAAAAGAATTGTGCCACTATGATAAGCTATGCATAGCTGAACAACAACCTAAGTCCCAGATATGTTACAATTTTGGTCCTAATAAAAGACATTAGTTGTAAGGATAACAAATGTGGACAAATTACAGGCAGTCCCCGAGTTACGCGGATCCGACTTATGTCGGATCCGCACTTACGAACGGGGCTTTTCTCGCCCCAGAACTTGCGGGCGGCGGGACCACCCAGATGCGCAGTGGTCCCGCCACCGCGTCCTCCAGGGCGAGAAAAGCTGCTCCGGGTGTCCCTGGTCTGCTGGGGGGGACTCCCCCGCACAGGAGGGAGAACCGAGCAAAGAC